CAAGTTTTTCAATATTTAGTAAAGATAAATTGAACGATTGGATCATGTTGCTATATTTTGAAACACACAATATTTTAAGTAGGTGGTTGTGAGATAATATCCCACTGCTTTTCTTTCTTGGCATAGGACTGTTACCATCAGACAAAGTGCAACCAAGATATAGAGTTGGATTCTTCTTTTATTGATGGCACATCATAAATAACTTGTCATTGAGGATAATTCTACTGGCATGCATGTTTTGTCATTGGCGTCTGTACTCGTGCCTTGCATCATTGCTGGTACTTGCACTATCATCTGATGGTCCAGATTAATCACAGAAAATTCAATAATTTTTCTGGTCTGCCTCAAAGAATCGCAACATATGTTGGTTTGACAAAAACACAAACAGCTGCCGTGCAGGAATACCAAACATTACCAATGACCATAACCAGCGCTAAATTTTCAAAACTGAGGGTTAATGTGATGGTACGTGATAGATATTAGTAAAGAATCACCCGTGGAGTATCCGGATGCAGAAAAAGAAAAGCAAAACCAGTACAGGGAATGACTCACTTGGACAAGCTAAGCTACTCTATGACAGAGGAAGCTCCGAAGTCATCGCGACGCCGCGTATGCCGGACATACAAAAGGAGGGACTTGGCATAGGAATGCAGGGCGGAGGTGTGTTGAAGCTTGGGATGCAGAAGTGCGCGCGCAGGTTTTGCGGTGGCCGGCGAGACGGCGGCCGACATCTGGGTGCGAGGCGGCCAGTTTAGAAGTGGATTTTGGGAGCAAGAATACAGAAGATTGTTGTGTGGAGAGAGACGGGAGGCGGGGGTGAGTCAGTTGCTGCATGCTGGGAGCGGAGGGGGACGCCGGCCTGATCAGAGAAATCGATGGCGTACGGCGGTACGGGAAGAGTTCAGTCCGAAAGAATTGAGAAGGACCTGACAGAGAAACAAGCAGCCTGAACCGTTAGATGTATCCAAATCTGACGGCCAACTTTCTTTGGATTCACTCCTGCTTAGTCCGTTGGATCTGCGAAATGGACGGCCCATACTGTTTTGAGATGAAGTTTGGCGGGAACACTGTATACGTGGTGGTAAGCCGCGAGTTCAGAAACTGATGTACTATAGTACTAGAGATACAGATAGAGATAGAGAAGATATAGATTACTATTCACACTTTTTTGTCCTTGAAAATCCGTTTTCTCTACCCATAAGTCAACGGGAGGTTTTTCTAACAAAACTTTTTATATGAGTACAAGATAAGATCAAGTTTGTTTCCAGAATTTTTTGATATGCAGTTTGAACTTGGAGTTTGCTCCTTTCTTCACAGGATGACTTCTTCGGCACAGCAGCAATCTTGCTAGTACTGTTTATATGCACGCATGCAATCAAGGAGCACCTACCAAGCGCACGCCGTTGACCACCATCACGCAACGGCGGCGGCCACTCCGGCCCCGTCGGCTACCCCACCGCCGTGCTGTGTCCCGGCCAGCATGCTGCCGCCGCCTTCTGCCGAGCTGCCCGCGGGCCTCGTGCCGTGCATCCTCCCATTGCCGCCCCCGTCATCTCCTCGTTCCGATCTGGATCGGCGGGATCCACCGCCGCCGACGCCGACGCTGGCCTGCTCTGCCAAGGGATGTAGCGTGCTCAAGGCTGGTCCGGCGATGCCCCCAAGCGAGCCAGCTGCGCCCACGTCCGCGTCGCTCCCCACGACTGCTTCGACTCCACAGTTCACCTCCCTGGCTTCCGCCGCCGCTGTGCTGGCCTCGGCTGCCTTGGCCTCCCGTAGGGCCGACCCGGCCATTGGAAGTCGCGCTCGCCACCTGCCAAGTTCCGTGACGACGGCCGCTATGGAGCCTCCGCCCGTCGTCCCTCCAGCAGCTGCCAGTCTTCCTCTGCACCCGGCGCCTTTTCCAGATCGGGAGAAGATAGTTTGTGCCGCGGCGTCGGCCCCGTCGGATTTGCTGCTCGATGCTACCAGTACCCTCCACGACGCATGCATTGGGGTGAAGACGACCATGCCGGTCTCCTGTGCGGCAGCATCGACCGCCTCCGGAGGCGCTGATTCCGGCGAGGCTCGAAGATCCGACGATAGGTGCAACGACGAGAAGACACCAGAGAAGATGGGCTCTCCTTTGCTTGGTCCGTCTTCAGCATCGGCATGCAACGACCTCTCTGCGGCCGCCACCGCTCTTGTAGGCGGGGCAGGTTGGGAGCATGTGGGTCGGGGGCGCCGTTCCGGTCGGCACGCTCACCCGGAGCCGTCGAGGGAAGGTCTCGAGCGTAGCCTCGCCTTCAAGCGTTGGGCTCGAGGAAGGTGCTTTCGTTGCCTCGAGCGTGGCCATCAAGTCAGTGCATGCCATGAGTCATTCAGATGCATTCGTTATCGTCGCATTGGTCATCGGGAGAGGTTCTGTCGTGCTCGCTCTCCGGTTGCTTGCGATCGCTCTCCGGTCGCTTGCGCTCCTCGCCAGCGAAGCCGCTCCCCGCCCGTCCAGCCTTGTCCTCCGCTGACTAGGAGTTGGGCTGAGGTTGTAGGTCACTCGTCGCTGTGTGTGTCGGTGCCGCCAAGGTCCCAATATGGGTGTTGCAAGGATTCCAGTGTCAACGCATCTTTGGTCTCTGCTTTGGAGTCGCAGCTTGCCCTGCTGCGCACGGAGCTCCTTCAGGAGGTCGAGCTACTTCGCACCGAGCTTCGTGACGCTCTAGCCAAGCTTGCGGTTGCGTCGGTTGTGTCTTTGCTGCCTGAGCTCCAGGTTGTTTCCATTGATGAGGATGTTGAATGTTTCTTTGGAGATTTTTCTCCTCGTGCTCTGGATGTGACACCTCTTGTTCATGGGAGTGCGGTTATCAGCGAGATTGTAGCTCCAATTCTGCAAATTATGCCTGAGTTGCAGGAGCTTTGTGGGGAATCATCTATTGTGTTACCGATGGAGCTGAGCGCATTGGAGTCCTTGGCGGTGGCAATGACACCCTCACTGCCACCGCCAGAGTCCCGTCAGCCGCCCGCCTTTGCGTACAATGGAGACTTGGTTGGTTCTATCACTGCCTCATCTATGGCCATTGGGCATGTGGTGTCTTTGAGTGGCGAGGTTGATGCGATAGATGTGTTGGCACCTAACTCTGAGGCTATATCATGTGAGCAACTGGAGACGTCTGAGTCCATCGTGTCAGTGGTACCTATTACTAATGATGTTGAGGCGGTTGGTATGTTGGCGCCTGACCCTTCGGAGCCCAACCAGCCGCTCGCCTCTGTGGAGCATGGAGGATCCGATGTTGCAGTCACCCGCCCGAAGGTGACGGTTGGGCAGGTTTCTGTGCGTGACAAGATCAATGAGATTCTATTCGAGATAGAGCTTCACAGCTTGCTCAAATGTTTGGAGAGGGTGGGATTTGGCAATGCGATAGTGGAGGAGGCTCTCAGGAGCAAAGGAAAGAAGAGTGACGCCATAGGGAAGGCGTGCGCAGCTGCTTGATGGATGGTTATCAGTCTCTTGGGTTGTTCTTATGGTCTGGCTTGTCTTCGTGGATTTGATGGTGCATGTGGTCTTCGACCGAGTTACTCTCGTTCGGGTGTCTTTGTGATGTAGCAGTGTGGGGGCTGGTGGACGTTAGGTGTTGGGTATGGTTGTGAGGCGATCATGTGCTTATGGGTTGCATGTTGTGTGAGTAGTCCACATGTGGTTGGTTTGTATCGGTTTTCGCCCGGTTTTTCGTTAATTAACTGGGCAATTCTCTTCTCCTTAATTAATCAATGAGGCAAATCTTTTGTCTCTGTTTCGGAAAAAAATCAAGGAGCAACTCCAAGTTAGATCATGGGGCAACTCCAAGTTCAAACTAGCAAGATCGCCATGCCCCATGATCAAGCTTTTAATCCCACCCGAGGCCTCAGTATGCACATATGCAATCTTGCTAGTACTGTTTATATGTTCAAGAACATCTCAAATATATGTAGATGCAAAAATAGCTAATTTTTGCATCTCCGAGGACCAAAAACCAATCTCCAGATGATGTAGATGTAAAAAAAAAATTACATCACCTCTTCAGGAGATGTAAAACACAACACCTGGAAATGCAAATTTGAATCTCCACCTTCAGCCTCCAGGAGATGTAAAATCGGCGCTTGCGTGCCAACCGCCCTTCATTTCCTTTCCGATTTGATTTGTGACTTGGCTCCATGCACACCATGGCGCCTATTGACTTCTGTACTGCATGCGTCTACACGGAGAGAACTTGCGATTCTCATGTCAGGAGCTGGATGGACTATTTGTCTGCCGCAGAGACATGTGAGACGCCTCTGAGACTAGGCGATTCACATTCCAATAAGCTAACTGTTGGACTATAGCCGGTCATCCGTCGTAGTCTAGGTGGTTAGGATACTCGGCTCTCACCCGAGAGACCCGGGTTCAAGTCCCGGCGACGGAATTTTTTTGCCTGCTGAGATCTGCAGTTTGAACAAAGTGGATAAATGTTCCTCTCATAACAGTTCATTGCCTTTTCACCTGCCCATGCTCTCAAGTTCGAACAAAGTGGATAACAGGATAAATGTACCTCCCCGCTATTTGACAATTGATTACTACTTGCTATCTGAAAGTCCCCACCGTTCCATAATACGGAACCACAAACGAGTGGCAACATCGTCGTCTCCCACGCAATGAGGCCGTCGACAAACCGTTTCATCGCCAGGTATGGTCACTTTTTCTGACTGTAAAGTTTGGAGCCGTTCCTCAGCTCTTTGGGCTTCTGCCTAAATTTTGACTGATGAGTGATGAGAAACATGGCCAAATATCGGGCTTCGGGGGTCTTTTCATAGCTGAAGCTGTTTCACGGTTCACTCATTTTATTGTATAGTTTCACCTGGCATAGTACAATTTTCAATGGTTCGAACACTCTGTTTGAACCATTGGGGAAGAAGACGAACTGTAGAATTACAGTCCTACGGCTATGTGCTTCTTCCAGCATAGCATTTCACACAATTATATACACATTATGAAACGCCGCACATAAGTATCACTAGCCACTGAGGTTGGCGTGCAGGAGGCAGTGGAAGTGGTGCATGGCCATCTCCACAGACGGCGCGTACCTGCCCACGCCGTAGGCCGGCGACTCCAGGCCCCGCTGGACTCCCTCGCACAGCGCAATGTCTTCAATCTGTAGCAGGTAAAACGCATCAGCATCATCGGCCCACGCTTGTTGCGGTACACTCTTGCTCGCGACATTGCGGTACCAGATGTGTTTTGTTGCTCATGCCGTGGCTACTGTGCTGTGTTGTGCTGTGCATATATTGATGCAAGCGTAAAAGGGCATGGAGTCCATGTCGTAAATGCAGTTCGAAGACCATGCAATTTACAGTGCAGTGATTGTTAGCTCAGAGAGGTCTACTTGAAAGCAACAAATTTAGTGGTTAAAGGCAAAGCACTGGTCGAGCTACCTTGGCGACCGATCATCAGTTTTATGGTAATATACCTGTACTTGTTCGCTGTCCTTTAAGCTTCTATCGATAAAATCCTGGTCATCCTGCAGATTCAGCACGGACGAGTCAACTGAAGATTGTATACAGCAAGCAAGAAAGAATAGAGCATTTCAAGGATCGTCCATTTTAGATTGTAGCAGACGTAACAAGTCATTACTTGCTTCAGATGGAAACTTGATTAATATATATGAAGTTAACATCATCATCCGTTCAGAGACATCACTCGGCTTTTAGATCTTAGACCAGTACCGCCATCCATTATGAATGGATTCGTCCCAAGCAAAGAAGAGAAGCACTGTTCCTCTGACTTTGATGATTTTCAGCAATGGAATTCAGTTGAAGCGCGAAGAGCCATCACTACATTAACTTCTCGTCAATGTGGAACATGACCGTCGCTAATGTGATTATTAATGTGTTGAGCCTTTCTCCCTCTGCTCATGCAGACATGCACTGTGCTTCTCTGCCTTTGCCATGGCTCGCAACTACTTTCTACTAGTATTGCTTATCATTCACAAGTCGTTTGTACTATCTTGGCACATTCTTAATGCAGAGAAACACACTTCCCGGCATGTTTGAGAATCACAAGCTGAAAGCAGCCACTTTATACAAACATGTTTTTTTCCCGATGATCTGTTAGTATAAAGCGGAAACGCTCTTCAAAAAATTAGTCTTGTCCAATCTAGCGCAAGCAATACATAAGCACAATATAGTGCTCATGTTTGCAGTCAAACTACCATCACAATAATGTGCCACGCGAGCTGTGTACAAATAATAAAGAGTAGAAGACACCATGGCATGTCACTGAGATGTGACAACATATGAGCAGTACATATAAGTATGTACTGAAAAGGCATAAAATGGGTATATGAGATCAGGAGAATATATACCAGAAGAGATTCGTCCAGAAAATAATCAAAAACCACTTTACACCTGGTTGCATCCAATGGGACAGCTAGATTAGTGTCCATCCATGGACCATACCTGAAAATTATTAGTTATTCACATCTGCATATATACATCTAATGTGAGCAAAATGAAACAACAAGTTCTGAAGGATGCCCACTGCACCTATTGATCATAAAGTTTGGATAAACAAAAGCATAGGTAGCTTTTGTCCCTAAGCGGTCAATGTCTTCTTGTTCTGCTAGGGCACTTTCACATCTTTGAACACTAACTCTTTCGTATGTCTGGAGATAAGTACATCTAATCAGAAGTCATCCTAGAAAAGGCAAAACCAAAAAAGTTGCAAGGAAATAATTCAGTATTGCAGTGGCATTGGTTCAGATACGAAGATTCATTAAAAGTAATAATTCGATAGTTTCAACACAAAAAGAAAGAGAGAATATTCATACTGGTTATTAAAATATTACTAGTTGACATCAAGTCGACTATACCTAAATAAAATATTCTCAAGAGGAAAACTGCAGAAGGAAAGGGGTTTACAAACTATACAAGTGTTTCATAGGATTGAAGCTGAAGACCGGATGCAAGGGCCCCATGTGCATATGGAACATGATATCCACCATCTAGATAGTTGTCACAAAATACCTGCATGACAAAAAATACAATGGGCCTAAAGATAAACTCAAGAGAATCTCATTGCTTCAGTAACACGTCATCAAAATATTGGAATAAAAAAAATGGACCTTCCAGTTACATTCGATAATATATTCTCGCCTGCAAATATGGGGTAGTGAAGTGTCAATGCCACTTCTACTCAACAGATCTGAAGCACTACCCAGCCATTCATCTCCACCAACAACATCATCAACAGTATCTTGAGAGGAATCATCAAATCTGGCAAGCACAAAAGGTCCCCACGTAGCCACCTTAATTGGTAAAAGACCGAAATCCTGTTTCCAGAAAGAAGAATAAGTTGCAATTTTGCGATTGAGAAGCACAGAGGCACAAAAGGAGTTGTGGTATACATTCTTGTTGAAGTTCTTGATTCCTGATATTCTTGTAGCTTTCAGGAGGGTACCATCTAAACCATATGTCCAACCCTACAAAATTTGTATAGCTAGTTAGCTACTGACTCACAAAAAATGAGGCAAATAAAAGCTAATGACGTGATGATGAAGTTCAGTTTCAGCCCAACCTAGAAAGCAGAGGCTTCACCACACTTAGTTCCCCCAATAATGAAAATTACACTAATAAGCATATGAAATACACTGATGTTCTGTTGTTTTGTTGCCATTGTTCCTAGTTCAGGCAGTTCACCAAGCTGGGGGTCCAGCTAAAATTGCACCGAATTTCTTTGGAATTCGACTTGAAGCGTTTAAGTCCCACATGGGACATGTGGATGTATTCCCTCATTGTCATATTAACATTTTAAACTATCTTTAGTTAATAGCATGTGTATTCCAAAATTTTCAACTAAACAACTTTTAAAGAAAAGTTATGTGGCTACATTTCTTACCTCAGATGTCAATAACCGAAGTATTCAGATGATTATCCTAGAAAGTCGAAGAAAAATTATAACATGCAAGTACAGACCACAAGTATGTGCCATATCTACTACTCCCTCCGTTCCGAATTATAAGATGTCATAACTTCTTTCTGAATCGGATGTATATACACGTGTTTTAGTGTGTTTATTCACTCATTTTAGTCCGTATTTAGTCCATATTGAAATATCCAAAACATCTTATAATTCAGAACGGAGAGTAGGTGTTTATTAAGGAACTCACGTGATAAGGGCATTGGAAGCAAGTCTTCTGACCACTTCCACATGCGAGGAGTGAGGCATGATGACGACACACATTGTGAAAAGCTTGAAGTTTCCCATTTGCATCCCGGCATATGACAAATTGTACATTTCCAAGGCTGTTGGTTCACCTTGTTAGGTGATTAACATTAGCAACCTCCAACATGAATTATCTTATTTTACAATAATTTGGAGGTAACCATGACTGAAAGTTGCCAATTTTCAAATAAGTGTTTTGCATGCAGCTCCTTGTTTTAGAAAGAAAAAAGGTATATGGGGGACCTAAACCCACCTGAACAATTTCCATTAAGCCAAATAATTTTAGCAAGATCAGTTGCAGATTACATGGTGGGAGGTTCTAGAAATATTTTAAGAACCTTCACACTTATAATAGGTTTGCACATCATACTGTAGAAAGTAGAATTGATTCAGGTAGCAGAAGCATGAAAGCAAGATGGAATCACCTTCCTGTGAAGAAATCATTTGGGTTCTTGACTTGTCCTATGTGACCTGGAAAAGAAGCATGCAAGTCGGCACCATGTAAGCACTCAGTAAGGAGCTACAGAGGCTAACTAATGAAAACAGATAAACATAAATTTTATTGAATGTGAATGATCTACCAAACCAGTAAGGTACTCCTTTCATTGATTAATGTAAGGCATTAATTCTATTGATTTTGTAACAAATATAGACCATACATGTAAACGTAAATGATGTTTCCAAACTGTACTGCTATTCAATTTATTTCCCATTTGCATTTGTTCATTACCACTCATACAGCCACACCACAATTTTTTAAAAAAAAAATTCCAAATCAACTACGACCTATGAGACTAATTTCTTCTCATGAATTCCCAGATTTAATCGGTTCCTTAAT